AGGATTCGAGTTTTGGAGGACAAGTGAGCTGGAGGGGCAGTGTGATTCACAGCTTTGAATTTGCTGATTTATTCTGTCTTAACACTTATATTTCAGACATTTTCTGTGTAATATCAAAATCAGTGATAAGAGAAATAGGCTTTGGTCACTTAAGTTAAAAAAGGGAAATTCCTCATATTTTTTTCCATTCTGAAAGGAAAGTGTAATTTATTTACATGTTTATTTAGGTCAATTCTCTCCTGTTCATTTTTCTCTAGACTGTTGTTTTGGGTTGTAGAGTTTATTATAGGACAGAACTTTATTGCAGCGTGTCTGAGAGGACACAAGACCAATGTCAACGTCGAGTAAGTAAGGGTTGAGTTGAATAGGAGCTCTTGAAAAACAACTTCTGTTGGGGCAACTGCTTAGCTGGGGTGAGGAGGTACAGCCTGCCCCACGGAGACAGTCTTGGGCAGGCTGGCGAAGTAATTCCATGCCAATGCACTGCTGTCAGTGGTTTCCTGTGCCAGTCCAGAGTGTTGCCTGGGCCTGCCATGTCCAGAATATGGCACTAGAAAAAATTGGCCTGGGATGGAAAATAAGTGGAAAGAACAAACGGAACATGGGAACATGGAAATGAGCAAGGATGGGCACGGGATGTCAAATTTTGGTGGGGAAAGGCTATTTTGATATTTACTTTATGGCATTGAAACTGTACATAGAAAGATAATAGCCAGTGCTAACCAAGTTGGGAAATAATTGATACACTGCTATTTGCTTTGTTCATTGAAACAATGCTTTTGGAAAAAAATGTAACCGTAACTTTTTAAAAGCACCTATACAATTTAATTGCATATTCCCATAACAACATTTCTCTAAGGTCATAAAAAATCCAGGAGAAGGAACACATCTATGCATGGGGATGCTCACTGCAGCAAAAGTTGGTAAAGCAAACAGTAGAAAGCATTTGAATGCCCCTGTATTGAAGGACCAGCGGATAGAATCCCTGACTGGAACATGACACATAGAATTATGACGGTGGGAAAATGTCTGTGATATGAGCCATCTAGATGTACTTTATGATGATAATTTTAATAAAAATGATCTCTATACATCATGGCAGAAAGGTGTGGCCGTCTGCTTCTATAAAGACGTATGCCGTTGGGACAGTTCCACTTTGTCCTCTCTGATCACTGTGACTTAGACTCCGCCCCACAGCCGCGGCTCTGCATACATTCCACAGCAGGAACACGGAGTTTTTATTTAAATTTGTGATTTGGATGGTGCAATTAGAGGTAATTTTGCTTGTTTTGTGTATTCGGCATTCTGCGTATATCATTATGATGTCGTTTGTGTGATTAAAAAATAATTTAAAAGTATTGTTGGCAGAATTAAGCAATCAGCCACTCACTCAAGGTTTCAGAATGTGTCTGGGTCTACGGCATGGCACTTTGGTCAAACGGATGCAGCGAGGTGAAGGAAGGAAGGTCAGAAGAAGGACGGGTGAGTAAATGGAATGGCAAGACAAAGAAAAGGAGGCACCCCGTAAACTCTGCTCTTGCCACAGGGAGAAGATGTAATCAAGGACTTGAAGGGTTTGGGGGTCTGAAGCTTATTCGATTTTGGAGGCCTTCTGTGACAGTTGTGTCACCATGGCTGCCACTCTCTAAGGTCACAGCCTAATGGCATCTCTTTAGGGTATAGCCTATTTAGCATCTATAAAGAGACATTGTGAAGAGCTCTTCTCTTCTTCCTGCTGGCTTGGATCTTGCATCTGGTTTCCTGGGCCTGGGCCAGTGGCCACCATGTGACCTGCCAATTCTGGGAACAGTCTCAGTGGCCTGATGTGTTCCCTGTCTTGGATCCATTCAACTCTTGTCTCCACCACCCTGCAGTCCTCTTGCCTCCTCCTTTGTTTTCCTGGTTCAATAGTCTGCACCAATGTGAATTGAGGTGAGTCTCCAGCTTAGCATCTGACCCACAGACTGGAGTTAGACTGGGCTTAGCTGTGTGAGCTGCTTTTCTTGATAATACTTTTCTCTCCTGATATAACTCTTTCATATACAGATATGAGTGTCTTGCTGTTGTTTCTCTAGAAAACTCAGCCTAAAGTGCCTTCATTAAAAATTACAAAATTAACCATGCAAAATTAGCTCCAGGATATCAAGAATGAGCCCAGGCTTCTGAGAGACCCTGACACATAAGCTTCCGTAGCTGCAAGGCAAATCTGCCTTTCCCGGACAATTCAACCCACTGGAGGATTTTTTCCTTCTTCCTCTTTGTATGGGCTTAAATTTCATTTTCCTGTTGCTGCTTCTTCAAAAGACACACATCAGTGGAATTAAGAAAAGAAGAATAGAAATAAAAATGAAAGAGATAAACTGTGTAAGTTCACTAGGAAGTAAGCTGGCTCCCAGCTGTGGGGCTCAGACTCTTCAGGGTCACACAGGGGCTTTAGAAGTAGCTCTTTCTGTTTCACTTCATTTTCACATCAGCAGGTGTTTGTGAGGGTTTATTGAAAGCAGAGAAGCTGTATTTACTAAGTCCCATTCCCACTCTGTATACCTGGTCTATTCTAGTGTCCTGGTCAGTAGATAAGCCCTTTATGGAGTGTCGGGTAACTGGCAATGGCTTCCCTTGCTCCCTGAGGTCCTAACCTATTGAGAGAAGGACTCAGAGCCAAGTGAAAAACAATCCACATCCTACACTCTACAGCCTTAGGGGAAGAGGAAGAAGAATGCAGAGGGAAGAGAATCAATCCATCAATCAGCCAGACCAGAAGACCTTTCCAGAATTCAGAGGTGGGAATATCTCAACCTTCTGAGGACTCCCTTCAAAACATACTTGCTCAACAACTGAATGAAGATTGAAGAGGTTTTTTTATAATTAGATTGACTGTATTTCTGTTTTCATTGAAAGACTAAAAGGAATTTTCAAGGATCCACAATTCTAAACGATCTGCTCTCTCCCAGTATTATACATGTCAGGGAAGATCATGTACTCACTCACTCTGACTTCCTTCTTCCTTTTCTGCCCTTACTCCTTAGTCTGTCCTTTCCTTCTCCTTCAAAACAAACAACAACACAACAACAACTTCTACTGTCATGAATTCTCGACTTGACTTCTTTGAGATAGTCAGCCTTGGGGAGAAGGATGTCCATGAAAAACCAGGAGTTCCCCTTTCCCAGCATATACTGTGCATGCGGCTTTCTAATAGAGCAGCCAATCCAGGAGCTTACCAGTTCAGCGTACTTCTTGAATAGAAAATCAAGCTTTTCTTCCGGTGTCTGCAACTTGTTCAGATTTTGCATTAGGAGGTTACCTTCTTTGCCTTAGGTAGAAAAGAAAAAGACATTTTTATGAATAAGAGTTGGCCTTTCCGTCATGAAATGACACAGTGGCTACAACCATGGGCTCTAGTAGAAGAACCATTGTGCGGCTGGCCCAGGATTGAGCAATGTCTTGTTCTGTTGGGCAGAGACTCGCTGTGATGGCACCTAACAACACCACCATTACCTCGGAGGATCTGGGTACTACTCTACCTGGGTCAAACCACTCAGACTCTCTGCCCTCAGATAGAATTCATTTCCCGTGAAACGAACTGACATCTCCCTCGCAGAGTAAGAAAGCATTATTGAAGTTGGTGAAATTGAGTGGCGTAGGGTCAGGTTTGTGATATGTTTTGATCCACCCCAAACATTAACTTTCTGATAGAATCGTTGTTGGGTGCTCTCAGGTGCTGGGGAAGAATATTGGCAGTCTCTGGGATTACGAAAAGGAGAAACAAATCTGTCTTGGAGGAAGTATGGGCAGAGTGCTCCTTAGAGGCAAGAATGGTGAGACTTTGTTTGGCATACTTCGGACGTGTTGGTAGGAGAGACCAGTCTTGGAGCAGGAGAGTTGGAAGAGGGAAGTGAAAAAGAGGAAAGCCCTCAACGAGCTGGATGGGCACAGTGACGTCAGCAATGGCCTCAGGCACAGGAGCAATCGCGAGCCTGGCCCAGAACTGGGCAGAGTTTCGTTCTCCTGTGCATAGGGTTGCTATGGGTCGGAACCAACTGGACTGTACCTAGGAATAACAACACGTCGTATTTCATGATCTTTGATATGTTTGAGCCTGTTATCATGGCTGTTGCTTCAGTCCATCTCCATATTTCAATATTACATATTTTCAATATTCCCTATTTTTGCTGACCTTCTATTTTACCAAATGGGACATCCTTTTCTAAGGACTGATCATTCCTCTGGATGTGCCCAAAGCAAGCAGGACCGAATTTCACCCTCTTTGCTTCTAAGGAACATTCCAGCTTGATTTCTTCAGTTGATTTGTTTGTCCTTTGGTAGTCCATGGTATATTCGCTATTCTTTGCCAACACCACAATTCAGTGCTATCCTTAAGGGTTTTCTTGGTTAATTTTGGAAGTAGATCGCTTTTCTTCCTAGTCTTAGTCTGGAAGGTTCTTGAAAACTGTCCACTAGGGGTGACCCTGCTGATAATGGCATAACTTTGAGCCACTCAGCAACACACAAGCCACCACAGTACAACAAAGTGACAGAATATCACTTATCCCCTGTTTTTACTTTAATTAATTTTAAGAAACAATTTAAATGGTCTATCAGAATTTCTGATCAGCCAGATATAGCTACTTTGATCCATTGAGTTTCTAGAATTTCAACCCAAAACAGAGAATTGAAATCGTTTAGTTTGCCCAGTTTGCTTCTGTGGTTTTTGTTTTCTGTTGTCTCTTTCTTGTGTTCAGAACTGATTCTTTCCTTCCTGTACATGCACACATTCCATTTGCATGGGAATCCCCCTGCTCATATTTCTTAGCAAGCAGAAAATGAAATCAACGTGGAAAAGAGTCACAATGTGCAAGGCCTATGATTTGTGTTCCCAACTTCTTGGCCTACCCAGGTCTTAAACTCAGCTGTCTGTTTCGTTTTCTGTTCCTGGTTGGAGTTTTATGCTAAGTTCTTAAACACATTTGTATTTGTTCCTTGGGCTGCTGTAACAAAGTACCACAAATCAGATGGCTGATAAGAACAGAAACTTCTGGTTCTGGAAGCTGGTAACCTGAAAGTAGTATATGGGCCGTGTTGATCCTTCTTAGGGTTCTGAAGGAGAATCCACTCCACCTCGCTCTCCTAGCTTCTGATTACTAATGGAGGTCCTTTGTGTTTCTTGGCTTGTAGACATAGCTCGCCAGCCTCTATCTTCACATGCTCAGCTTCCCTCTCTGTCTCTCTTCTCTTTCATAAAAATGTCACCTGAGTGGACTAAGAGCCCCATTCCAGGATGTCCTCATGTCGTCTTAGCTGAAGACCTCCTCAAAGACCCAATGTCCCAAACAAGATCATGTCAAACATCCCAGGACATTAGCATGTCAATTCAGTCCACAAGATCATGTATTCATGGTTGTATAAAGAGTAAATCTCAGATTTATTATTTTCTATCCCCACTGTTCTTCCTTTTATTTTTGTCAGCTCAATCTACCCAGTTTGCCTCTCTATGGTTCCTGGCATCCTTGATTTCAGGCATCCATTGGGCCGAGTGTTGGGAAGGATGAGTGGGACTCCATGTTTTTTCCCCATCCTCATCCGTCTGTGACAACCATTCTGGGTAATCAGTGTGGGGAGGTCAAGCCACACAATTGGGTTCGGGTCTCCTGATAGATATCTGCTGAGGAATACCCACGCTTCATAGAACTATTCCCCCAAGAACAAGCCCCTTTGCTATCATGTTCATTTGTATGCTGGAGAGGCAAATATGCCCTGGAATCAAGGGTAAAGGAGGAAATAGAGGATTCCCAGTCAAATTCAAGTTTCAGAAAAACAAGGAATGATTTTTATTACAAAAGTCTCCCACCTCTTGAATGGGACATACTTACACTAGGAGGGGAAAAAAAGTATCCACTGTTTTTTTGAAATTGAAAGTTAACTCATTACCCTGTATTTCATTTGGTAAGTCTGGCAATCCCTTGTGGATTCAAAATGTTGGTATACAATGTACTTCCAAGAACGCCCAGTCTAAGCTGGTTAATTTTACAGAGCAAGAATCAGAGGGCTGGGGAAGTCCAATGCCACATAATGGTGCTGGCAGAGCCAAGGCTTGAGCCCAAAGCAGTATACTAGTCTAAATCACTCCACTCCCTGGTAGAATTCTGATGCCAGGGAAACCTAGAGAAATAAAAGGAAACTTGTAAAAGACAAGAACATGACCTCATTTCTAACAGTTGGTTGCATCTATCTTTGCCCAGTGAATCAGCTGGAGTTTGAGACGTGACCGAAGACAGGGAACAACGTGGTGCAATCCTCTACCAGCCAATGCAAATCTGCCATGTGATGTGCTGCCCTTTGTAGCTGGTAGCCGCTGCTGCTCCACCCCAGTTGGGCTGAGTTAACCCTCTGAAGCAGGGAGGGATTTGCATTGGCCAAGCCAGTCCTTTGCCCACTGACCTGGGTTAAGGTTCATTTATTAAAGCAAAGAGACCATACTGTTTTACCATTTTAAGCACAGAATCTAGCATAGTGTTTGGCTCGTGATAAGTGCTCACAGAACACCGATAATAATGAAACAAGACACAACCAACTAATTCAATCTGAGAGCAAGTCAATCAATGTAACTTTGTCCTTAAGACAACTTGGGTACCAACTAGACCAGAGGGAAGATTAGCTGTAGTCTTAGCACTGACATGTAGTACATGCCAGGGTATCTTTCCGTGTGAGTTCAGGCGTAGAAAACCATCCATCACATGTCTGGTTTGGGGGAGAGAGACACAACTGGTCTCCCTGCCTACATTGACAATCTTCTTTTCCTAAGGTTTGCTTTCTTTACCCGTAAGAAGTGGGTTTTGTTCTCTTGCATTTTGTTTCAGCCTTCACATGAATAGGTGTCTCCGGAGAAAGACAGGGCTTTCTACTCTCCTGAAGAGTGGCTATTTTAGAAACTCAGAGTGGCGGTTCTCCCTGTGAGCCGGGATAGCTTCCATGGCGGGAAGTATAAATATCTCATTTTGTGCTAAGTAATGTCCTGTCTTTTATATTAGAGGCTACGATTTGTATCTATTATCTACCTTGAAAAATCCTTCCTCTTTCATAAACAAATCCAAGTAATTAGAAGCAAGCATATGCAGAATTAAAAAAAAAAGTGTGACATCAGAGGACTTATTCTTTAAGCTTCGATGGGTTTTGCAGGACGAAGAGTGCTATTTGGGATGACAGTGGAGGAAGTGGCTAGACAGAGACTGGCTCATCTTGTAAGAAAGGCTGTAATTTCAGCTCCGGGGTCACTTAGTCACAATGCTGGACAGGAGAGAGAAAACGGGCTGTATTCACAGACATTTTGTCAGGAGGGAAGATCAACTGTGTTCTCATTGATGTGTCGTCCAGAGTTACCTCATTTCTTTCCCATTAGAGGTGGGGAAGACATGCGGTGAGCATATGGCCACCCAGCTGCAGCGTGCTCAGCTTGGCAATAAGTCTGCACCCACGAAAACAGACCCCCCTGTGCAGCAAGGACAACCATGTCACATACAGCTGAAGCCATTGTCACAGGGTTAGCCACAGGGCATACTGAAATACCAGGAATTCTTTTTACATTTAAATCGTAAATGAAGACAACTGGGTTTTATAGATATGTAGTTTTATGGGCCAGCCTTTTTCTGAAATTTCTAGCATTCACAATGGTTGTTTATACTAAGTTTGATGGCAATTCATACAGATGAAAGAGCACTCCAAATATACATTTCTCTATCAAATTATTTTGGGGGAGGGGGCTTTGGAGCTGACATGTCATCTCTGCCTCTCTTCGCCATCAAAGTTTCCATGTGTGGCAGAAGCTTAAAGCAGGGGAAGGTTGTGAATGTTCTGATGCAAATGTTAGACAGATTCATATTTCAGCATGAATTATGTTTTCATTTGAATGCAATATAAAAATACTGAGTGTGCTAAAAATAATTTAAAATATGAATATGTACCACTTAAGGGAAATCAGCTTCATATATTTAATGGATAGAAAGGATAAAAACTAAACCCAATAACCACCCTATGGGGCGGAGTAGAACTGCCTTGTGCCTTTCCAATTCTGTACATCTTTCAAACACAATTAAACACACTGTTATCTAGTCAATTCCAACTCATTGCGACCCCATGACATAGTAGAACTGCCCCATTGGTTTCTGAGACTGTAGCTCCTTATGGGAGCAGAAAGCCTCATCTAACCTTTCGGTTATCAGCCCAAGGTGTAACTCAGTATGCCCCCAGGCCTCCTAAGGAAAGGCTAAACCAAAACCGAACGCATTGCCACTGAGTTGATGCTGACTCATAGTGACC